TCCATATATTTGTTGACCTCCTCCGAGAATTGTAATAGGTTGGTGAGGCATGATTTCCCTTGACAAAACCCATGTTGACTCTTCCCCAACAAATAGGATGTATTAGCAGGAGCGTCGTAAGCAAGACACAAGAAGTAATTTTTCTGCTCTATTCCACGCTGATACAGCTTCAGCTGGAGCATTGCGTCCAGCTCTGGGCACCACATTTCAGGAAAGATGTGGACAAACTGGAGAAAGTCCAGAGGAGAGCAACAAAAATGATTCAAGGTCTATAAAACATGACTTATGAGGAAAGATTGAAAAAGCTGGGTTTAGGCTGGAGAAGAGAAGACTGGGAGGGGACATTTATATACTTGAAAACGGTTATAAAGATTGTTACAAGGAGGAGGGAGAAAAAATATTCTTGTTAACCTCTGAGGATAGGGTAAGAATCAATGGACTTAAATTGCAGCAAGGGTGTTTTAGGTTGGACATTAGGAAAAACTTCCTGACTGTCAGGGTGGTTATGCACTGGAATAAAGTGCCTAGGGAGTGTGATGGCGTGGCTGCCTGCCACTGGCAGAAATGGGATTAAAAGCAGCCCTACGGAGAGTGAGCTGTAGGCAGCCAATTAGAAAGGGGCTGAGAGAAGCAGGCAATCATGACCTGGCAGGCGCATATAAGAAGGGCTGCACGGCATAGCAGAGTTCAGTAGCCGAATGGAGTTTGTGGGGAGAAGACCAGGCTCTGAGCGGGAAGAAGGAGTGCCAGCACCTGGGATAGAGCAGTGCTGCAAGCAGGGGCCGGGGGAGCTAGGGAGAGCTCTGGGCTGGTTGCTACAACCTGCAGGCTGAGGACCTGAGGTATGGGCAGAAAGGGTGCTGCAGCTACATGGGAAGTGGCCCTGGGACAATGGACTGAAGTTGCCACTGGAGGAGTGGCTGAACAGAGACTGTGGGTCCCCTGGAAGGGGGAGAATACAGAGTGTGGCACGGCCAGAGGGCAGTGTCACTGAAGAGGACTCTACGGTTCTGGGCGTGGCGTGGGTCCTGGAACAAAAGTGATGGCAACAAGGCACCACCAGAGGAGGGGGCCCTGGTGAGTAGAGCTAATTCCCATCACAGCCAGCAGGAGGCGCCACAGTGGTGACTCCCATCCCGTCACAGGGAGGTTGTGGAATCTCTGTCAAAGAATAGGTTAGACAATCCCCTGTCGGTGATGGTCTAGATAATACTTAGTCCTGCCTTGAGTGCAGGGCACTGAACTAGAAGACCTCTCGAGGTCCCTTCCAGTCCTATGATTCTATGAAATTGTGTTCATCTGTGTCTGACAATTCTGTTCCTCATTATAGTTTCAATCACTTTGCCTGGTAGTGAAGTGAGGCTTACTGGACTGTAATTGCCAGGATCACCTCTGGAGCTTTTTTAGAAATTGGTGTCACATTAGCTATCCTCCAGTCATCTGGTACAGAAGCTGGTTTAAATGATAGGTTACATACATAGGTTTTAGGACTGTACATTTCATTTCTGTTTAACTAGCTTCCTCATTTTTGTGTAGTTCCCCTTTCTGAAATTAAATGCTCCTGTGTTGGACTTCTTTGGTGGTCCCCTCCCCCCAGATATGTTCAGTTTAATTATTTTATGGATGCTATTACAAAGCGGTTCAGCTAAATTCACCTCTTGGGCTGGACCCTGTGCTCCCGTTTAGAACTAAATCAAGCATGTAGAAGCACTCGTCCAGACTCTAGGGAGATGGGGATAAAAATCTCGGAGCAGAAGGAATTATGGTCCTTTTATCCTGTTTAGATTCTCAGGGGCAAAGATTCCTAAACACAAGCAAGAGATCCGCAGGACTAACCTGGGTTAGCCCTAATGGACACATCGAGCTGGCATATTTCATCAGCTCTGGCACCATGTGAATCCTAAGACTGCAACACGTTTTTGTGTGTATGGTTACTTGTTTTAACTTTGTAAATAATGCTCTTATTTCATTTTCCTGGTTAATAAATCCTAGTTTACTAGAGAAATGTCTACAAGTGTTGTCTTTGGTGTGAGATCTAAGGTGCAGATTGAGCTGGGTGTAAGTGAGTGGTCCTTTGTGAGTGAGACTAACCTGAATATTTTGTGATCTTTGGTGTAAAGCAACCATGTGCCACAGAGCAAGCTTGCCTGGGTTGCGAGAGAGATTGGAATGCCCCAGGGGACTGTCTGTGGCCCCACGGTAAAGCTGCCTAGAGCCTGAGGGGTTCAAGCTTGTCACTTGGTTGGTGAAATCGAAGTATAGAACTCCCAGCCAGTTTGGGGTTTGTGCTGTGGTTCTTAAAAGTCTGCCCTGAGGCTGGTATTCTCACTCATGAGCCACTCCAGCCAGCGTGACAATAAATACGCTTCCCCATGACCCTGCGGAGCCGCCTCCGGGCTCTCACGGCGCAAGGGGGCTTGGAGCTCTGATGGACACAGTTCTCCATAGCCCTGCAGAGCCACCCCTGTGACTGGCACAGCCTCCATCCCTGACACAGAGGGTCACTCAGGGCCGCATTGCCCTCTAGGCCCTGCCCTCACCAGCCACACTGCCAATGGGTGAAGTTTTCCGCAGCCATTCTGGCTGCTATCTCCCATTACTCTCAATGGGGCTGAAGCCAGCAAGATGGCTGCCATTTCCCTACAGGCTGTCTGCACGTGGCAGGGACGTTGCCTGTAATGAAGAGGGCAGCCATCTCCGACTGTGTTCAGTGAGACCCAAGCCCGGTGCAGCAGAGCGACCACCTTTGTTGGAGGGAAGAAAGGGGGGAAAAAAACCACAGGAGAATTAAGTTATGGATGGTCATCATAAGGGCCAAATCAATGACATAAGGGACAGTCCTATAAAATAAAGAACGGGTGGTCACCCTAACACTCAGAGGCAAACTGTCTGGCACTCCATGAGGGCGGAGTTGGGGGCTAGCCAGGACATGGTTACGTCTCAGGAGCAGCAGAGCCCTGTAAAGGGAGGGTGTGAGGAGCAGCAGAGCCCTAGCTCTCGGGGGCAGGAGGCAGATTTAAGGTTTGTAGGAGGCGGGGGGGGACGGGAAAGAGGCTGGTGGTGCAGGTGAAAGGATCGGGATGGGATGGGAGAGAGATGGAGGGGATCAGCTGGTGTGTCAGCTGGGGGAGAGCAGGAAGTCGTCCCGGTGTAAGGGGGCTGCTGGCCCCGCACTGACGCTGAGTGGGGTTGTTTGGCTGCCCTCTGCCAATACCGGGGAAGGGCCACGGAGAAATTAGAATCCTGAGACTGGCAGTCCCTGGGGCCAATGGGCAGGGGCCAGTACTCTAGGTCAGGCTGATTGACAGGGCGGGCAAGCCAATGAGGGAGTCAGGAGCCTGGGGGCCTGTCCTCCGTGTGCGCTGGAGCTCCCTGAGCCAGGGCAGGGCTGAGCTAAGGGGAGAGCTGGGCAGGAGGCGGAGCTGCAGCAGCCAGGGGGCCAGAGCTGGGGAGCTGGAGTGGGGGTGGTGGTGGAGAGGATGCTGGAGCCGGAGCAGCCCGGGGGTGGGGTGGGGTGGGGGGCGCTGGAGCCGGAGCACCCTGGGCTTGGGGGTGTTTACACAGGGGAGGAGCAGGAAGGGCTGGGAGAGGAATACCCCACAGCTGCTGGGTTGAGGTCCTTGGACTGGCATCCGGGACAGAGGGCGGGCCGGGTTCCCCCCCCAGTCAGTGCTGGGGTGAGACATGAGGGAGAGCCCCTGGGGGCGGTGGGGGCCGTCTGGAGCAGCCTGCGATGACACCCGGCAGGGGCAGAACGTTAACGTGAGGTGGTCGGGGGGGGCTCAGGGAGAGGGAAGCGCGGCTGCTCCCAGCGCGAGAGGCCAGGGCGTGACCAAGGGGCTTGACGGGCTGAGTAACCACGGGAAGGGGCGTCCGAGCTAATTCCCCAGATGAGCCAGAAGACGGTGCTGCCAAGGGGTGAGTAGCACCAACCCCGTCACGCCATCTCAGCCCTCCACTGTGCCCACAGAATGGCCGCGCTGGTCCCCATAAAACTGCCTGAACCCCCGTAGCTGGGTCTCCGCGGCTCCTTTCCAGCTCTGAGTGGTGATACATCCATCCACAAACAGCTGCTGGGAGGGGCCCCCAACCCCGGACAGCCCTGGGGCAGGTACCTGCTGACTGCCCAGGTTTGCTGTGGAAAGGGATTGCGGCTGGAAGCAGGGCACCTGCTTTGCGTGCAAAGCAGCCCCCAACCAGATAAGAGCTTTCCTGTGTTTTGCCCCTTCCCCAAGCTCCCCGTGGATCTACGCCCCGTCCCCTCCAGCATCCCCCGACAGGGCAAACCTGCCAGTTCCAACCCCCCTCTCACTCACTCACACCCAGCCTGCCCTGGCTGTCTGCTTATCCCTTCATCGCAGCGCAAAGGGGCCCGTGGTGTTTGGATGCGCCTGGCCAGTTGGCAGCGCTGGGGTGAGCGTGTTCACCTGCACCTGATGGGGTCGCGGTGCCTGAGGGGTTGGAGCACACAGGACCCCTGGGAGGGCTTTTGAACGTGCCAGGTAAGGAGCCTTTACCCCTGCCCCACCCCTTTGTCCATCTCACCCACCTGGGAGTTTAGGGTCCTTTAAGGTAATCCCTTGAGTGCCCAGCAGACCTCAAAGGTACCCCCTTAGCTGTCTAAGCGTCTATGGCTGCTTTTCAAAAGGGCTAGCAATGTCTACTGAAAACCATGGAGAATCTTCCTCACCTCACCCCACCCCAATGAGAACAATAGAGGATTCCACCGCCCCCCCGCCCGCCCCTGAGAATACTGCAGGGGTCTTGGACCCCAGCTGAGAACAATGGGAGCTGCTGTGTGCTGAGCTCTTTGGTAAATCTGGACACTCATTTCCACCAAGTGAGCTTCTGAAACTCCAGCCTTGGCTCCTGCTCTATTAGTGACTGTCACCGTGGTTTACTGTGAGTTCGACGCGCCCGTGGGGTCCTGTGTGTGCTGCTCACCCCGATGCAATCTAAGGGCACGGAAAGGAATGTTCCAAGATGGTGTAATTGACTGATTTCTGTTTTCTCAGTTACTTTTATTGTGAATGAAATAAAACCATAGCAGATCAGTGACAAGCCAGGGATGAAGGTGCCATGTCAATGTGAGTCATTGTCAGTGAGAGGTGCTGAAAGCAAAGATGGGACTCATGATATAGGCACACTACAGGCACTGAGCCATGCAAATACAAAAACTCAACGCTGTTAGAAGAAACTCCACACTTATTTGCTGCGTGGACGTTAGAAGGCAGCAGAGCTGGAGGGTAGGTTTGCTTAGAGACAAGGATGGTCGCACTGTCCCCTCTGAGTAGAAACAGCTGCTCAGTATCAGAAGCTAAACTGTCCTCTGCGGTGATACTTACAAAACACTTGACAACGGCTGGGTAGCTGGTGGGCTGAGACCACTGTCATTTTGCTGACCAGTATTGTCTCTTTGTGTTCCTCTGTCTGTCTGCTGGTTCCCTCCTGTTGTCTCTTGTTGCAGATGGTAGACTCTTTGGGGCTAGACGCAACGGGGTCCTGGTCCATGTCTGGGCTTCTAGGTGCTATCAGAAGAAAGGAAGCTAATAATAATGATAAGAAACAGCAGCAGGATGTGCTGTGGTCTGAACAATTCAGGGAACCCAGAATCATTTGCAACATGAATATCACTGTTACACAGGTGGGGAAAGTGACTCACTTAAGAAAGAGGTCGTGGTGTGTCCACGGAAGGGAAAGGAAAGGATCCCACATTTTCTCTCCTTCTCCAGTCTCCTGCTCTGTTGTTGCCACCAGTGGATCTCCCCATGTACCACGGACTTTCATTCTCTTGAATGAAGTAATGTATGGCCTCAGCCTCTGTGGTTTGGGAGCTCTGCTGGAATTCTCCTGACACCTCTTCCAACCTGCTTTTCAGTTGTTGCCTCTCCAGGTAGTTGTCTGGAATGGTGAAACCTGCTTTGTACATCTTAGCTGCCTCCCACACTGACTTCTGCTTATAGAAGAGGAAATCCCCCCAGTGAAGGTAGACTGCCTGCTGACACTTCTTGCTGAGGCTGGGCATTTCACTCAGGAGATTGAGATAAATCTCTTCTTGGTAGTGAGGTGTGTTTTCTCCATACATTTCAGCTAAAGCCAGCCTTGAAAACACAGAGGCTGGATCTTTCTGCACAGCCTTTTTGAAGGCCTCAATGGCTGCTGCCAATATTTCTTCTCTTCTGCCTGACTTGGCCTCCTCCAGTTGTTTCTTGTAGCAGACGCCAAGGTCATAGTGAAGGAGATGATAATTGGGGTTCAGAGAGATTGCTTGCTCTAGAACAGAGATTGCTTTTTCTATGATTTCTGGTTGAAAGAACTTGGCTGCATGTCTCAGGACCTCAGGGTCCAGGCTATTCTGAACAACATCTTCTAAGAGGGCTTCGGCTTGCTGTCTATCACACTTCTTAAGGATCTTGGCTAAATACACCTTAGCTTCATAGTTTTGCTGCTGTTCATGGAGAATGGCAGCCAACTTCTTTTTGGCTGCTTCCCGATGTACAGGCTTGTGTGAGTGAGTCCATGATGCAAAGACCGCAATTGCCAACCCAGCAAGTAATTCCCCATTTGCTTCGTCTTCTCTTAATGCCATTTGGAAACACTTTGTGGCTTCAATGCCATTGCGGAAGCCTGCTGCCAGGAGAGACCAGCCTTTCTGTGCATGTATCTCAGGGATCTGAGCTGCATGTGGAGAGCGGCTCTTCAGGGAGCTGCAGATCTTTCTAACCTTGTCCAGGTAAAACTCAACCAAATCATAGTGGGCCAAGTGATAATAGATCCAGGCGTAGTCTCCATAAATGACCAGGACCTGCCGGGGGAAGTTATCTGGATGATCTCTTTGCAGAATCTCTTCGGCTTCTCTCAGGCTTTGCAGAGCGTCTTCATATTGCCCTTGCAGGTGGCAGAGATAAGCCTGCATGGCAAGGAGCGTGGGCTGGTTCTGGTAGTGAGTGTGGGCAATCCTGAGAGCCAGAGTTTGGAGGAGGTGAGCTGCATCTACCTTGTCTCTGATTTCAAAGTTCCAGGTGAAGTGGCATTGGAGGGCCTGCAGCTTCTCCTTCAGACGCAGGGTGCTGCAAAGAGAGGGGAAAATGAGACTTCATCTGGGCTGAATGAATTTCCACTACATGCTACAATCATCCCCACCACCATGACAGGGAGCGACACTGCCCCCCACCTCCAGTGAGTAGCCCTGCTGCAGATATCCCCTTCAGCACCCACCAATTGTACCCCCCACCCCCACATTCCCTCCCCCTCCCCACTCGGCAGTGTCCTCTTTTTGGGAACCTGAAATATGGTCACCCTGGAACAAGCACCACACTGAACAATAGAACAACCCCCCCCCGCCTTGTTAGACTCACAGGACTCCCCCCCTCTGCCTTGCTAGACACATAGCCCCCCCCGCACTCCCTCCAGCTGTCCCTGCGCTGTGGTCTGGTGCCGGTGCCCTGCGCTCAGGGTGGTGCTGGGGGGGCAGTGGGGTGACGTGGTCTCAGCTCCAGGCTGAGCGTTCACAAGAGCCCCCCGCCCCCCCTTGCAAGCAGCTGGTTCCCCTCCCTGCAGCCTCCCCCGCGCTGTAGCTCCGGGCTCCTGCTGCTGCTGCCTTTTCTCTCTGCAGTTCCTGGGCTGGTCCCATCCCACCCCCCCGGCTGCCCCTTGGCTCCAGCTCCCCAGGGATCAGAGTTAATCTCTCCCCCCTCCCCAACACCCGCAGCCAGGTTTCCTGAGCTGTAGCTTTCGAAAGCTTAGGCTCAAATAAATTGGTTCATCTCTAAGGTGCCACAAATCCTCCTTTTCTTTTTGTGAATACAGACGAAGACGGCTGCTACTCTGAAACACAACGGAGAGGGGGACAGGGCTGGGGGGGGGGCACTCTCTTACCGACTCCTCCGTTGATGCGGAGCGAAGCCGGAGTGACAGCTGGCCAGAGGGGGAGCTCTCCGTGAAGGTGGAGCGAGGGGAGCTCGCAGGGCGAGGTGCCAACAGTGACCTGCACTAGCCCTGAGAGGCACCAGCCTGGAGAGTCAACAGGACGCAGAATTACCCCAGAGTGACCCCGCCCCAGAGCTTTCAAAGCCGGAGATTTACAGCCCCAGAAATGCGCAGAGGGGGGTGGAAAGCTGTCTGACTTTAGCCCTGGCTGGAAATGTCCCCCCCGCCCAGCGACCCCAATGCTCCTACCTCATTGCGCTCCGCTGAGTCCCAGCCCGGCCAGGGGAGGTGACGGCTCCTTTCACTGCCCCGGGTTTCTTCCCAAGGTGTGGACGTGCCCGGTTCTGGGAGAGACCCGAGTTCTGCCCGGGCAGGCTGGACGGTGGCCGCCCGGACGATGCTGCCCTTCTTATGCAGGGCGGGTTGCTAGCTGGGGATCTCACTGGTTTGGCTGGGGAGCTGCATTTCCCCGGAAAGCGGGAGTGAGCAGCAGAAAAGGAAACTGAAACTTAACTTTCACTTCCACTTGTCAGCTTCAGCGTCCCCTCAGCCTGAGTCGCCACCTGCAGCTCCCTGGGTGACATGGGACTAGTTATGGGGCGGGTGTGTGTGTGTGTGTGTGTGTGTGTGTGTGTGTGTGTGTGTGTGTGCGGGTGTGTGTGTGTGTGTGTGGGTGGGTGGTGTGTGTGGTGTGTGGGTGTGTGTGGGTGTGGGTGTGGGTGTGTGTGGGTGTGTGGGTGTGTGTGTGTGTCGGTGTGTGTGTGTGTGTGTGTGTGTGTGTGTGGGTGTGGGTGCACACACGCGCTTGCACACGTACAATCCTGGCCTGGGCTTCCCAGCACACGGACGGGGTCACTCACCATCCCCGCGCCGCGGGCGCTCCCTGCTACGCCCCCAACCAGCTCCACAGCCCCCTGCCCCGAACCGGTTGCCCGCGTCCCGGCCCCGGCCAGCCCTTCCCCACCACCGGGGGGTGTTCGTATCGCCCTCACGCACTTCCAGGGCCCTGCCTGGGGCACGGAGCAGCGAGGAGCAGAGGGCGATGACGGAGGCAGGGCAATTAGCCAAAGGTGAGAGCTTTGTACCTGCTCCCCCAGGTCTCCGCCTCTCCCCGAACCTCCCCCAGCTTTATCCGCGCAGGGTGCGACTTTCCAAAGGGCCCCCCCCCCCAGGTTTAGTCACCCAGGCCGCATTGGCTGCCAGCGTGATCCCTGCTCCTCAGTCACTTGGGCACTTTTGAAAATGCCTCCCCCACATACAAATTAAACCCTCTAAAGTGAGGAAATAACAGTCAGGTTGTGACGTTATTGACATGACCTGTGACCGTATAGATCATTGTTCCAACCACTGTTATATATTTGCAGCAAATATTGTACAGAGGTTGTGGTGTGAGGTGTCTATGGAGAGGTTAGGGTTGGCTGGGTAGGATTATGCTGTCTGTATGGGTGTATCGTGGTTGTGGTTGAAGTGATGGACATTGGCTATGTACTTGTATCTCCATGTGCTTGATTCTAAGTAGCCTCAGGGAAGCATTTGGTCAGCTTCTTGAGAAGGGACTATTCTCAATAAGTGCCCAGTCAAGAAACACTTAACTGACAGTGGACCTTGGGAGACTCCAATTCACATGAGAAGTCTTCCTGGGAATGTTCAAGGTAGCATGTGAGCAATGGCTGCTCTCCCTGTAAAAGAATTGAGTCATGCAGGGACATGTGACTTGCCCAAGTGACTCCAGACGCCATCTTGCTGCTGTGATTTTCCACAGTAAGAACAAAGGGGTGTCCTTCCACATGGCAGAGGATATAAAAGGCCCTGGAAATCCCTCCATTTTATCTTCAATCCTGTTTCTTACCTTTGGAGAGACTTTGCTACACTGAAGCTCTGAACAAAGGACTGAATGACCCATCCCAGCTGGGGAAGATCTCCAGAGACTTGATTTGAACCTGCCGTTTATTCCATCACTACGACATGCCTGAACCAAGAACTTTGCCATCACTGTATGTCATTGATTCCATTTAAGCAATTTTAGCTCTCATCTATATTTCTTTCTTTCAATGAGTAAACTTTTAGATTCTAAAGGATTGGCAACAGTGTGATTTGTGGGTAAGATCTGACTTGTATATTGACCTGGGTCTGGGGCTTGGTCCTTTAGGTTTCGGAGAACCGTTTTTCTTTTACTGGGGCATTGGTTTTCATAACCAGTCGTCCCCATAACGAGTGGTCCTGGTGGTGATACTGGGGAACTGGAGTGTCGAAGGGAATTGCTTGTGTGACTTATGGTTAGCCCGTGGGGTGAGACCAAGTGATCTGTTTGGCTGGTTTGGTGTGCCTTAATAGTAAAGGAAACCCAACCTTGGGCTGTAACTGCCCTGCTCTAAGCAATTTGTCCTGAACTGATACTCTCCGTTGTGTCCCGCCAGAGGCTGCATCGTTACCCAGGTTCCCTGTGCAGCCTCACCTCTTCCCTTTGTACTGCCGCATGCTGGTGCGCTCTTCAATGAGACGATCGCGTTCTATCTCCGTGGGGCCCCTGCCTGGTTCACTGCGCTGTGGGGACAGTGTGGGGGTCTCTTCTGTTCCGTCCTACATCGGTTCTTACGCTCTGCTCCTCATTGCAGTGTCTGAGCGCTTTCCAGCTGTGCATTAATTACTGTGACTCACACCTGTCACATGTTTGGTTTCTCCTCTCCCAGAGGGAGAAGCGTCTTTCCAGAGGGTTTTTTAAATATACATTTTGTTTTGTTTCAGAAGGTGGAGGATGTAAAGGGGGGAAGGCCGGTGGCTAGTTGCCATTTCCTTCTCACTAATAGGGAGGAGCTGGCTGTGAATCTGAAGGTGGAAGGCAACTTGGGTGAAAGTGACTACACAGCGATAAAGAGTTTGTGATCCTAGGGGAAGGAAGCAGGGGGAGCAGCAGCATAAAGACAATACACTTAAAAAGCCGATTTCAACAAACTCAGGGAATCGTTTGCCTGGTTCTCTGCCCTCGATCGGTAGGGGGGACTGTCCCATCATTGAGGGGTGAGGGGGGAACAGCCAGCACCCTAGGGCCACATCTAGAGCAATTTATTTAAAGGGGATGCAAAGCCGCGGTTGCTTTTTGTTGGGGGGTGTCGGTGCCTGAGGCCTGGGCTTGCGAGGGTTAACGGGCTCTGACCAGCTCCCAGCTGAGAGCTCCTTGCTGGAGATGCATAAAGGGCTCCTGAAAGGGACAAATCCCATCATGTCCCGTGTGCTCCCCAGCCCCGGTCATCCGAGGCTCTCAGAGCAGCCCGAGGCCTTGCCAGCCGAATGCATTCTCCCCAGAGTGAGGCAGGCTGGCAGGGGGTGGGGCCTCACCATAGCCTGCTGCGTTTCCGGCCCAGCTCTTTCTGATTCCTCACGCTCCCTTTAGGTTTCATTTCTCTGCGTTTCAGCTTCCTGATCTCTGTGCAAAGAGCTGGCAGGTGCCCAGGACGGGGAGGGGGGGGCAGCAGGAGAGACGTCACCCACCCTTCCCCTCTGAACATCCCCCTCCCCACACCCCCCTCCTGCGAACACTTGGACGACTCACATGCATGCCCCTGTGAGCACATTCCCCCCCCCCACACTGCTGTGCTGGGGCTGATCCTGGCTCTGTAGGGCCCTGCAGAGGGTTGCAGGGGTTGGGTGGCATAGAAGCCGGGCTGCATCTGCCCCTCATGCCTGGTCTCTGTGCAGGGTTGAGTAACTGGGGTGTCCAGCTGGTGGGAGGGAGCCGCGTTCCCCATGGGCTGTTAACCCTCTGAACCCCTTCCTGTTGTCAGCTCCCAGTGGCTATGTGAGCAGGGAGTGACTGAGCTCTCCTCTAACATCTAGTGATGGGCTGGGGGAAAAAGACTTCTGTATTTACATGAGTACATAAAAGGTTGTTACAAGGAGGAGGGAGAAAAATTGTTTTTCTTAACCTCTGAGGACAGGACAAGAAGCAATGGGCTTAAATTGCAGCCAGGGAGGTTTAGGTTGGACATAAACTTCCTAGCTGTCAGGGTGGTTAAGCACTGGAATAAATTGGTTAGGGAGGTTGTGGACTCTCCATCATTGGGGATTTTTAAGAGCCAGTTAAACACCTGCCAGGGATGGTCTAGACTCTAGATCATACTTAGCCCTGCCTTGAGTGCAGGGGACTGGGCTAGATGACCTCTCGAGGTCCCTTCCAGTCCTACGATTCTATGAACTCACCTTCTCTGCCTCGATATCCAGCAGACAGAGCTGCCGTGCCAAAGGGAGAGTGTTGGCTGCTGGTGGGTTACAAATCACTTTACTATTGAATGCAGGGGAATGACAGGTTGTTACCTTGTTGTGTGAGTAAAGGGCAGCAGAAGTGGGCTTAGCCTGTCCTGATGCAGGCCGTCACCCTCCAGTGAAGTGCCCTCGTGAAGCAGGGTGTAGGCAGCGTCTCTGGAGCCAGCTCTTGTCAGTGCAGGCAGCTGAGGCATTGGGTCCCCAGGGCATTCCCCTGGGCAGCTCTCCCACTCCTGCCTGGCCGGGGCACGGGGAGCCTGGGACTCCACAGCCACAGGGGAGTTCCCAACCCACCTTCCCCAGGGTGGGCTTTGCTGAAGGGCCGCACTTGCTGTTTACAGTTGCTGTAACTACAGGGTTTGGCAGCTCCCTGGCACGGTGAGTCGCTCCTGCCCAGAGCACAAGACTAGGAGCAACGTCTGGGTCAAATTGTCGTACAGACATCCACCTTTTACCAAAAAAGCCAAAGAAACAACAAAAAAGATAAGAACGTTCAAAGCACCTCATTTGTGTTTCTATTGCATTTGGGTCTAGTAAACAATAGAGACACCTGTACATTGTTTTTATTACTGAGTCTGCAAAATACAAACCCTACATTTAGATAAATTACAATGGCGTGGACGTGTCCATGTGCATATTTGTTTGTTTTTCCTAAAGTTAATTAAGTCTTTTAGGAAAAATTGTCAGAGCGGCCACCAGCAAGAGTTGGTGGCTGCACGGTGGCCACCAAAAATTTTGTTGTGAGAAGGCCTGGTGTAAAGACAGAGCTACTTGACGCAGTTGAGAGTAGCTGTTCTGTTAAGGGGTCACTAGGGCTGAAATCACTGATGATGAGCTCCAGCTGCCAAACCATCGACCTGGTGAAGGACAGTGGTGCAGGGAAAGAGAGCGCCCGAGCAGTGAGGTTTCCTGCTACCCACCGAGCGGTGGGTTCAGTGGTGGGACCTGAGAACGTGGCATCGCAGAGAGCAGCGGGTGGCGGCAGAGAAGCAGCAGCAGCGCCGGGGTGACCGATGGTGGCAGAGGGAAGGGTGGCAGCAGGGTCCGTTGTGCTCGATGCATGTCCTGGGTAGGGGTGGGAGGCGAACCCACATGAAGGCCCCTCTGAGCTCTGGGTCTTTGCTGACCAAGGACAGCCAACTGTGAGTGGGGTGCAGTGGAGGGAGAGGGGAGCGATGTGCTAATGGGACATTCATTCCTCAGACTTTCCCACCAGCAGCTGGGAAACTGAGGCAAAAGACACTGCCCTGTGTTAAAGGGGGAAAGGACTGAAAGGCAAAGGAGGAGTGTGTGTGTGTGATAAGAAAAGAGATCCTTATGCTTTCAGTCTCCCTAGGTTCGGCCTCCCTGTCCAGCGTCTGTCATCTGGAAGGATCCCTTCTCCTGCAAAGAGGACCCCTCCCACCCTAAATAATGAGGAATCAATCAGTAAAGGTAAAATCAAATAAAGTGTATTGAAGGGTTTATAACAAAGAGTGGGACAAATAAGAAGGGGAATAAAGAGCAAAATTGCGCAATACAGTGATTACCCCCAAACTCAACCCTACAAAACAGATATAAAAACCGTCTTCACAGATCAAAGCGACAGCAGGTGCTTGGGACCTCAATCCTCTGGCTGACGGCAAGGCTTTGGAGAGGAGCTCCAAGGAGTCCCTTGATGTTCCTTCGTGGCCACAGGAAAACAGAACAAATGGTACGCTCAGGAGCACAGCGATGGACGATGAGAAAGGTAAGTGCTGTTTCTTCTCCTCTCTTCTCTTTAGAGGTGAGGAAGCTGTTGGAGGAAAATCCCTAGGATGGATAGATGTCTGCAGGTAAGACCCACGACCCGTGACCGTCCCTGGCTGCCACTCAGTTAGACAACCCTGAGGCCATGTTCGGGGCACCTTTTTATACACTGGCCCGGGAAACCCCTTAGAAAAGGCGGGAAGCCCCTTCTGGGAAACCCCTTAGGAAAACCAGTTCTGACTGGAAGTTGTTTACAACTCCAGGAGAAATAAAAGAGCGGGAAAATGGACCTATAGCTCACGTGGGCATAAAATTCCATTTTGAAACCAACATGGATTCCTGTAGTCACAAAACATACGAAAATGAACCCACCTAACAAAAGTGTGCTGTGGGGTTGGCTTGGCTTATGATCACATGTGTTTGAATGTGGTTGTGATGTTTTCTCAAACTAATGCTGGGTTCCCTTTCCCTTTCAATAGCAGTTCTCTTTTGTAAAACACAGAGTCAGTGCCTGTGAGTGGGGACGTATTGTCTCTTGGAGGCGTCCGGGGCGGTGTTAAGTTTTCCCAGATTACTGCGGTGGGGGGGCTCGAGCCAGTTCTTTGTGGCAGTGTTAGGAGGAACCCCTAGATATTGAACCTGTGTGGGTGCTGCTGACTCCACCATGCAGAAGGGTGAAGTTACATTGTGGTAGGCCACGCCTAGAGGTGCCACTCAGGTCAGGGCCTGTTGTATTAATTTAGATGGGCCAAAGGTGTTAACTACTCCTGAGGGAATTCTGCACCAAAAAAATAAAAATTCTGTGCACAGTATTTTAAAATTCTGCAAATTTTATTTGTTAATAAGTAAATGTGGATGCTCCAGTGTGGCAGTGGGGAGCACAGGCCACTGGCTGCACGGAAGTGGGAGATCACTCTGCAGCACCCCCCGACCCCCCAGGACAGGACTCGGCAGTGAGGTTGCTCTGGACCCTGATACAGCGCAAGGGCTGGACCTCCCCCGAAACTCCCAGGGCGCTGCCCCTCTGCACCGGGCACACCAGGTGTGGGCAGGCAGGCTCAGCCCAGCAGGATCCAAGTGTGGAAGGGCTTAGTGTGGGGGGCAGGGGCATGTTTTCTGCACACACAGTGGTGCAGAATTCCCCCAGGAATAGTAACATAACCCAGTCACTGTCCAACACTGACCAGTTGGAAAAAGGTCCAAGGGGTGGTATTCAGGGACCTCAGCCTGCTTAGTACTGTGGCAAATGCTTCCAGCTCTGGTGGGGCCTGATGTTTACACAACCGCTAGAAACGTCCCTGCTTTGTGTGTCTGAGTGGAGATGAGATCAGGAGGAGATGGGTGGGCCAGAAGAGAGAAGAAACTCTGGTTATTGCAGATATCTAGAGGGAGACCAAGTCCTGTCCCTTATCCAAAAGGCCAGGCCCATCCTGCCTCCCTCTGAGGGTCCCCTTCCTCTCCTCCACTGAGATCTGGGCAGTTCAGGACACAGTCAGAGGGGGCTGGATGGATGCCTCTATGCAGGGCCAGGATTGGGACAGAGGAGACACACACAGAACTGCATGCTCAGGAGAGTTTATTCTTGTTATGGGCTGCAGCCACTGAGGGGAAGGGGCAGGAGTGTAACTAGAACAGACACACTTCGGGGAAGAGAGTTTGCAGCTGGGGAAGTGAGATCTGGTCTTTCAGGGAGGGAGAGGACTGTCCCTTGATGCAGCAAAGGCATCGGAAAGTCTGGGACCTTGTCTGATCATGCCCAAGGAGCCCAGTTCTTTTGCATCCGAGGCGCTGAGCTCCCCCTTCAGGCGCAGGCGAGCGACTCTCCTCGCTAGGGTCGATACTTGCAAACGTAGCCATTTTTCGTATGACAGTCTTTATCATTCCAGTTCTTAAAATGTAGAAGGCAAAACCAATCACTGGGGCAATGGAAGGGCGAGTGGGGCCATTCCTGCCCTTATAGTGATGTCTCTCCTCATTGCACACTGCTGAGAGAAGACCCCAGCTCCTGTGCATGAGACTGCAAGGATGAGGAGGCTGGAGATGAAGGCCCATGTGTCTCAGACAGGGACAGGCTCCATGGTTCCATGAGGGATGCTGTGTCAGAGTGATAGTGGAAGACCCTTGTGACATTGCACCCCATAATGCTTTATGGAAATCTGCTTATGAAAGTAAATAGGACATAACTGGAATATATTTTAGGTAACATATCTCTGCAAAGGTTATGGTCTACTGAATATATCTGTATGCATGTATCATTTTTGTACTCAAAGTTATGAATATTGGCTGTGTACTTGTTTGATTTTAAGTAGCTTTAGTAAGGCATTTGGTCAGCTTCGTTAGAAAGGAATTTGCAAGTTAAGTGCCCAATCAAGAAACACTTAACAGACAATGGATCTTGGAAGACTCCAATCCACATAAGAAGTCTACCTGAGGACGTTCAAGGTAGCATGTGAACAATAGCTGCTACCTGTAAGTTCTGAGTCATGCATGGACATGTGACTTGCCCATGTGACCTAAAACTCCTGTTTGTAGCTGTATTCTACATAGGGAGAGGGAGGGGTGTCCGCCCACAAGAGAGTCTATTTAAACCCCTAGGAGACCTCTCCATTTTGTCTTCAGCTGGCTCAAGAGATAGCCTCTCCACCCCAAGGGATACCTGAAAGAAACTGGAACAAAGGACCGTAACCATAGGGGTGTGAGTGATTGCTGGACCCAGACTAGAAGGAGCCTAGTCTGCAAAAGAAGCTTACTGAAACATCTCTGAGCGTGAGGTTTCCTCTGTAATCACTTTCTTACTGTATTAGGTTTAGACTTGTGTGCATTATTTTATTTTGCTTGGTAATTCACTTTGTTCTGTCTGTTACTACTTGGAACCACTTAAACCCTACTTTTTGTATTTAATGAAATCACTTTTTACTGATTAATTAACCCAGATTATGTATTAATACTTGGTTGGGGGGGGAGGGGGAGAAACAGCTGTGCATATCTCTCTAACAGTGTTATAGAGGGCGAAGAAACTATGAGTTTATCCTGTATAAGCTTTATACAGGGTAAAACAGATTTATTTGGGGTTTGGACCCCACTGGGAGCTGGGCATCTGAGTGTTAGAGACAGGAACACTTCTTAAGCTGTTTTCAGTTAAGCCTGCAGCTGTTGGGGGACATGGTTCAGACCTGGGCCTGTGTTTGCAGCAGGTAAGCATGTCTGGCTCAAACCAGGCAGGGCACTGAAGTCCCAAGCTGCCAGGGAAAACAGGGGCAGAAGTAGTCTTGGCACATCAGTTGGCAGCCCCAAGGGGTTTTCTGTAATCCAACCCGTCACAACCCTCTTCTATTGTGTTGGAATATGTCTGATGAGAGCACGACGGGGCCTCTTGGTGCTAGGTGCTATGCATGCACATACCAACAGACAATCCCTGCTCCGGAGAGTGCACAGTCTAAGGAGACAAGAGGTGGGAGGGGAAAGTGAGGCCCATAGTGGGGAAGTGACTTGCCCAAGGTCACCCAGGAGATCAGTGGCAGGGCTGGGAATAGAACACTCAGACTCGTGAGCATCTGAGGCTGGGCGAGTCTGTGTGACTAGCAGAGCCCCATGAAGAATGAGTCATTCATGAATTAGCGAGTGAGCTTTCCCTGTTCACCCAGCTCTCTGTCCTATTGTCAGTGAATGGGATGAGACCTTCAGCCCCGCTCCACCCCCCACGCCACTCCAGCAACATGGACAGCAGAAAGCTGGCTTAAATGGCCAGCTGGGGATTCCTCTTGCATAGGGGAATCCAGAAGAGAGACATCTGCCTTTGCCCAACCCTGGCCTCCCCAGCATAGGGGACAGGCTGGGATGTGGCGGAAGCTCCTGTGCTCTGGCCGTCTAGGTTGTTACTGCCGCTGTCAAAGCAGTCCTGAGGTTTCTCTAAATTGCCCGGGGCCAAAATAGCCCCCTGGCTGCCTCCAGAATCAGGGTGCCAAAGGCACCAACTGAAGAACCCATACCCTGCCTGCACATCATCTAGTGGACAATAGCTCTGCTTGGGTCTTTCCGTTTAACTGATTGTCTGGGGCCAAATGTACTGTATGGCCTGCCTTTGACTGGAGCTGAACCTCAAACTGGGATGCGTGGGGGAGGAGTTATCAGGTGAGTTGAGAGGAGAGGGAGTGGCAGTGTGAGCTGAGGGAGACAGGCAGGCTGACAGGACAGGGGGCCATCTCCACAGAGAGAGCTGGAGGGTGTGGCTAGGGTCCTGTCTTGGCTGCTTTGTTGGTGCATGTGTGTTTGAACCATCTGCTTACCCCTGTAATTCAGCAGCTCAGTACAGTACTCGACACCATGATTATTGTTTGGTTCCCTGGTGTTCCAAGCTTTGTAGTGATACAGGGAGCGATCTCTCCACCTCCAGCGTCTGTACTGCAGAGACAGGGGAGAAAAGCCTTTGGGTCCCCAAAAGAAGAGATCTCGGTGATAAGGCACAATAGAAACACCTAAACCCAAAAGAGAAGCTCCGACTCTCTCCCACTGCCTGAGTAGGGCAAAGGGCCATGGGGCAGTGGGTGGGGAGAGACCAGCTCAGGGGGACAGGACCTGAGACGCTGATCTAATAGTAACACAGCACATGAACTTCACCTTCTACCTTCCAAGCTCTTTGCTTGAATTAACAAATCTCCACACCATGAAGCAGTCACTCTGGAGTGTGTTCTAGTCCCTAATGGGCAAGGCCCGCCATGGGGCACCGGTGGTTTTAAGCAAAATAAAAGTGAGTCTGTGATGGAGATGTTGGATGGATCAGGGAATGGGACACGGGGCCTTTTCCCCTCTAGTGGGCTCATCACCAGTCTGACCCCAAGTTAGCAGGACTGGCTAGCTCAGTAGAATCAGAGAAGGAGACACGGGGCCTTTCACCTCTAGGGGTGCTGCCTCTCGTCTGGCCTCAGCTCATGGGGGGACTAGCTGGCTTTGGGGGTCAGAGAACTAGTTCCAATCCATTGCCAGGTTGTGGGGAGCTGGATGCCTGAGGAGACTAGAGAACGGGACACAGAGTCTCTCACTCCTCCTGTTCTGAGTCCAGCCCAGCCTCCGGTCTGGGGCGGGGGATCCAGGGCCTGAGTCTGCGCATGCTGTTCGGGGAGCCTCTGGACCCCAGCGCCTCTCTAGCGGTGGGGAGTGAGAGGAAACGGATGGAGACAATGCTTCAGGTGGAGCTTGGTAAGTTTACGAAGGGGGTGGCGTGACGGGGTTGCCGGCCATAGCACGGGCTGGACTCGGTGACCCCGTAGGCTCTTTCCAGTGCTATGTTCATAACGGCTCTATCCCCCTCTGGGGCCTCCTTCCTAGCCTGTGACTCCTCCCCCTTCGTGTCCCTGCCCTAAGGAGCTGGGGGCTCTCCTACAAAGAACCAGGCGAGGACGGGATCCCCAAGCTGAGGGAGCAACCAGCAGTGTTAGGGGCAGTGCATAGGTCTCTGGGGAGCAGAGGCTCAAGTCTTGGGCAGGAAAAAGTGGCTAGGAAGCTTGTTGAGAGTTGAGTGGGGACGAGATGTGGGGTGCAGGGGGAGGGCACGGCACATTGCATGAGCTGGGAGGGTGTTAGGGAGACGGGGCAGTAGTTGGAGAGGCAGGTGCAGGTCTAAGGTTGGTTTGATGGAGGAGACCAGGGCCTGGCCCTAGGCAGCTGCAGACTCTGCAGTTAAGTGCTTCCCTCCTCTTCACCATGTCTTCAAGTACCTGAGATGCCCATCACCTGCAGCAGAGGCCACCAATTCCCACGCACCCCTCAGCTAGCACACAGTCGTGCAGAAAGTGCCGCCTGAATGATTTTGGGGGCTGGGGTGCCAGGAGGTTCCCATCCCTGGGCAGAACCTCTGCAACAAGCTCACATGGCCCCTCCTCCACTGTGGGACCAGGACCCTGTGAAGACAGTGGAGTTACCCTGTGTATAACCAGTTCTGTCCAAAGCCTGCTGAAGTGAGTGGGAGTCTTTTCATTGTCTCTAATGGGCTGTGTATAGAAGCAAAGGACCCCATTCTAGACGCCAGGAGTAAAGTGGATTCTATGCTGCACTGGTTTACTGTGGTAACAGGAAGGTCTGACATGACCTAGTGAATAAGCAACACCTCCTACAATACCTAACTTTTTCTGAGAGGCCTCCTGCCCAATTACTAAATGCAAACCTGCTTCGCTTCCAAGGGCTGAAAATATCAGGCCGCGTGGCCACAAAAGTAAGGCCCTTCTGAATTCAGTAGGAATTCTGGATGTGCACAGAACACGGACAGGACTGGTTCCCGCATGGTTACAGAACTGCGGTAAAGTGGAACAATGTTCAGCTTGTGTGATTGGAGGATATCTGGATCCATATTATAAGACTGTCCTACATAAATGAGGACAAGTTGAGATGCCTTTGTTATTTTGTTCCACTCTTTGTTTCCATGGGGAATTTGCCAGTGCAATAGTACTGTCTTCCTTTTAAACAAACAAAACTAAAACAAATGGTAATGGCTGTTGAAAATAGCAATTCCAGCCCTAGTTAGCACTGGGAAGGCCCCAGCATTTGTTCCTCAATTTTACCCTACTTTTTCTACAGCAAGTTACAGTGGATAAGCATATTTGATTTGGGAGAAATGAAGTAACCGCAGCCTAAACTGAGCATGAGCACTCCTGAATTTTGAGGGTGTTCAAATCTGGAAGGAAGGTGCTCGATTCCCTTTCTGAACATTAGATAAATCTGGAAAGGAAAAGCCAATTTCTGCTTCCATGGCTCAGATCCTCCTGCGTGCCTGGTACTGTATCTAAAGCTGCCCAGGTCCTCTAGTAAAGCCTCTCCTCCCTTACTTATCATTTTAACTTCTGGTGGGATCCACAAACCTACCCTACTAGGCTTCAGATAGAGAGGGGCACTGTCCATTCATCCCACCCAGTTCCTTCTTTGGGAGCTGCCAGGCGAGGTCACACCAGCATCCCTATTCCAGCCAGGGGACGTCTTCTGAGGGTGATATTGGGGCCAAAGCCTTTTACTCCTTGGCATACTTGTTCCCCATTCCCAGTGCCACCCCCTTCTAGCAGCCAGCTCCCCATTCACAGCAAGCTGCAGCGCATGGGGTTTCAGCTTCCCCACTCCTTTTCCTGTTGATAGTGGCCAAGGGAAAGCAGGGAAATGTAGTTCCTTCCCTGCTCCAGGACCGGCTCTCTAGGCAGGGAGCTGGCCAAGGAACTACAGCTCCCAGGGCCCCTTGGTTTCTCAGCTCCCAGGCTGGATCCCTGCTGCTCTGAGGCTCAGAGCCTCCTCGTGTGCAGCGCTGTGAGGGGGGGGAGTGAGTGTTATGGGCCCCCTTCTGAGCTTGGGCCCGGGGCGCCACAGAGCCATTGGTGCCAGGGTAAATCCGGTACTGCCAACTAAATCATCCCAGCCAGGGCTTTGTCAAGCCGGGCCTTACAAACCTCTAAGGAAGGAGATTCCACCACCTCCCTAGGTAACGCATTCCAGTGTTTCACCACCCTCTTAGTGAAATAGTGTTTCCTAATATCCAACCTAGACCTCCCCGACTGCAACTTGAGACCATTGCTCCTTGTTCTGTCATCTGCCACCACTGAGAACAGCCGAGCTCCATCCTCTTTGGACCCCTGCCTCAGGCAGTTGAAGGCTGCTATCAAATCCCCCCTCACTCTTTTCTTCTGCAGACTAAACAAGCCCAGTGCCCACAGCCTCTCCTCGTAAGTCATGTGCCCCAGCCCCCTGATCATTTTCATTCCCCTCCACTGGACTCTCTCCACTTTGTCCACATCCCTTCTGTAGTGAGGGGACCAAAACTGGGCACAATACTCCAGATGTGGCCTCACCAGTGTCGAATAGAGGGGAATAATCACTTCCCTCAATCTGGCAATGCTCCTACTAATACAGCCCAATATGCCGTTGGCCTTCTTGGCAACAAGGGCGCACTGCTGACTCATATCCAGCCTCTCGTCCACTGTAATCCCCAGGTCCTTTTCTGCAGAACTGCTGCTTAGCCAGTCGGTCCCCAGCCTGTAATGGTGCATGGGATTCTTCCGTCCTAAGTGCAGAACTCTGCACTTGTCCTTGTTGAACTTCATCAGATTTCTTTTGGCCCAAGCCTCCAATTTGTCTAGGTCACTCTGGACCCTATCCCTACCCTCCAGCATATCTACCTCTCCCCCCAGCCTAGTGTCATATGCGAACTTGCTGAGGGTGCAATTCATCCAATCATCCAGATCATTAATGAAGATGTTGAAGAAAACAGGCCCCAGGACTGACCCCTGGGGCACCACTTGATACTGGCTACCAACTAGACATCTAGAGCCAACTAGAGCCATTGATCACTACCCGTTGAGCCCGACAATCTAGCCAGCTTTCTATCCACCTTATAGTCCATTAATCCAATCCATACTTTAACTTGCTGGCAAGAATACTGTGGGAGACTGTATCAAAAGCTTTGCTAAAGTCAAGATATATCATATCCACCGCTTTCCCAATATCCACAGAGCCAGTTATCTCATCATAGAAGGCAATCAGGTTGATCAGGCATGACTTGCCCTTGGTGAATCCATGTTGACTGTTCCTGTTCACCTCCCTCTCCTCCAAGTGCTTCAAAGTGGATTCCTTGAGGACCTGCTCCACGATTTTACCAGGGACTGAAGTAAGGCTGACAGGTCTGTTGTTCCCCGGGTGCTCATTCTTCCCTTTTTTAAATATCGGCAATATATTTGCCTTTTTCCAATCGTCTGGGACCTCCCCTGATTGCCATGAAGTTTCAAAGATAATGGCCAATGGCTCTGCAATCACATCAGAAAATCCAAAGGGGAGCTGGAATTTACGGAAGGACGGAGATGGAAAGGGTGCGGGAGGGCCGGGGTTAAAGATGGAGTGCACATGGGAGACTCTGGTGATCATGACAGGGGTAAGGGGTTAGGAGTGGGGGAGGGAGCTCCTGGCAGCTCCTATGAAGGGCTCATGTGGTATGTAGTCTGCACAGCCCCTGGGAAACAGAGTTATGGGGCGGGGGGCGGGGGAGGGGAGGAGCAGCTGCCAGAGGCAAAGCAGGCTCTGGGCACTCACCTTCCGGGGATCGTGCAGTCCGATCCAGACGCGATCCTTGAAGCCTGACTCGGTGATGTATCTGGCCACCGTGTTCCCTTCTGCCTCAGTGAGAATGGAGGCGAGATGGGCTCCTTTGTGGTGATATTGACACTGCACCTGCGGCAGAGACAGCAGCGAGGCCTGTTACCCCCTTGCAGGGGGCACTGTTTGGCACTGGTGTGGGGTCCTGCCCCACCAGGCTGCAGCAGGAGCAGGGACGGCTGTGAGGGGAGGGAGCCCCCTCTCGGTGCCTCTTCCCGAGCCCCAGGGCCTGGCACCAGCCACGTCACTTCTGCAGCCTCCCCACCCATCCTCTGCAGGGGTACACACTGGGGCTAATGGTGATGTCACCAAACCCCTTCAGCCCCTGCCCACTAACCCACCCCGTAGATCCCTGAGAAGAGCCTTGTACCTCAGCTTCTGACCAGGACACCTCTTCAGGGAACAACGCGTAGCATTGACCTTGGTAGAACAGCCAGTCACTGGGACAGGACGTGGCCCCTGTTCCTGATCCGAGAGAGGGGATGGGACGGGGAGAGAGAACAGTGTGGTGAGAGGCTGTTTCAGAGAAGACAATGGGAGCAGAGCTGCTGGCTGTCATCATTCCAGCTTCTCCAGATCTCCCCAAATCCTGTCAACGTTTGCCCTCTCTCAGAATGGCCACTATCTCCTATTACTTTCAATAGGGCTGAAGCCACGCAGTTAAAACAGCTGCCCCTCCCTTGCCACCTTTGTCAGTAGCAGTGAGGCTGTTGTACTGAAAATTACCACTGTCTCCTCTCCAAGGGGACAGGAGCTGGGCTGTCCTCAGTGAAGATGGTCTCCTCCTATCTTCTGTGCAGGAGCACTGGGGAACCTGATGGGGAGGGGAGGTAGCAAAACGGTTGAATCAAAGTACACAGGGGACTGGGGGTGAGGATGGGGAGTACTTCTGGAGGGTGGGTGAGGTCCCAGATGACTGGAGAAGAGCAAACATAGCACCTGTCTTTAAAAAGGGGAACAAAGAAGATCCGTAAAATTATAGACCAATAGCCTAACTTCAATACCTGGAAAGAGACTGGAACAAATGATGAAACAATCAATTTGTAAGCATCTGGAGGAAAATTGGGTTATAAGTAAAAGCCAGCATGGAATTGTGAAGATCATATCATGCCAAGCCAACCTAATTTCCTTCTTTAACAGGGTTACTGGCCCCATGATGCTGTGGAAGTTGTAGACTTGTTAGATCTTGATTTTAGTAATGCTTTTCACACAGTCCCACATGATGGTCTGATAAGCAAACTATGGAAATGTGATTCAGATGAAATTACTATAAGGTGTACTATAAGGTGGGTGCCCAACCAGTTGAAAGACCGTACCCAAAGAGCAATTATCAATACTTTGCTGTCACATGGGTGGAACATATCTAGTGGGGTCCCTCAGGGGTCTGTCATTGGTCTGGTACTGTTCAACATTTTCATTAATGACTTGGATAAAGGGGTGGAGAGTACACTTATAAATTTTGTGGATGACACCAAGCTGGGAGGGGTTGCTAGCGCTTTGGAGGCAGGATTAGAATTCAAATGGCCTTAACAAACTGGAGATTTGGTCGGAAATCAACAAGATGAAATTCAATAGAGACAGGTGCAAAATACTTCACTTAGGAAGGAAAATCAAACACACAACTACAAAATGGGGAATAACTAGCTAGGTGGTAGTACTGTTGAAAAGGATCTGGGAGTTATAGTGGATCACAAATTGGATATGAGTCAACAGTGTGATGCGGTTGACAAAAAGGTTAATGTCATTCTGGGGTGTGTTAACAGGAGTGTTGTGTGGAAGACACGGGAGGTCATTGTCCCACCCTTCTCGGCACTGGTGAGGTCTCAGCTGGAATGTTCAGTTCTGGGGCCGCACTTTAAGAAAGATATGGATAAGATGGAGAGTTTCCAGAGAAGAGGATTAAGTTTAGAAGTGTGTGCAACAAGAGTGATGTAGTGGTGGGAGTCTGCTATAGACCACCGGACCAGGGGGATGAGGTAGATGAGGCTTTCTTCCGGCAGCTCACGGAAGCTACTAGATCGCATGCCCTGATTCTCATGGGTGACTTTAATTTTCCTGATATCTGCTGGGAGAGCAATACAGCGGTGCATAGACAATCCAGGAAGTTTTTGGAAAGCGTAGGGGACAAGTTCCTGGCGCAAGTGCTAGAGGAGCCAACTAGGGGGGGCGCTTTTCTTGACCTGCTGCTCACAAACCGGGTAGAATTAGTGGGGGAAGCAAAAGTGGATGGGAATCTGGGAGGCAGTGACCATGAGTTGGTTGAGTTCAGGATCCTGACGCAGGGAAGAAAGGTAAGCAGCAGGATACGAACCCTGGACTTCAGGAAAGCAGACTTTCGACTCCCTCAGAGAACGGATGGCCAGGATCCCCTGGGGGACTAACATGAAGGGGAAAGGAGTCCAGGAGAGCTGGCTGTATTTCAAGGAATCCCTGTTGAGGTTACAGGGACAAACCATCCCAATGAGTCGAAAGAATAGTAAATATGGCAGGCGACCAGCTTGGCTTAATGGTGAAATCTTAGCGGATCTTAAACATAAAAAAGAAGCTTACAAGAAGTGGAAGGTTGGACATATGACCAGGGAAGAGTATAAAAATATTGCTCGGGCATGTAGGAATGATATCAGGAGGGCCAAATCGCACCTGGAGCTGCAGCTAGAAAGAGATGTCAAGAGTAACAAGAAGGGTTTCTTCAGGTATGTTGGCAACAAGAAGAAAGCCAAGGAAAGTGTGGGCCCCTTACTGAATGAGGGAGGCAACCTAGTGACAGAGGATGTGGAAAAAGCTAATGTACTCAATGCTTTTTTTGCCTCTGTCTTCACTAACAAGGTCAGCTCCCAGACTGCTGCGCTGGGCATCACAAAATGGGGAAGAGATGGCCAGCCCTCTGTGGAGATAGAGGTGGTTAGGGACTATTTAGAAAAGCTGGACGTGCACAAGTCCATGGGGCCGGACGCGTTGCATCCGAGAGTGCTGAAGGAATTGGCGGCTGTGATTGCAGAGCCATTGGCCATTATCTTTGAAAACTCGTGGCGAACGGGGGAAGTCCCGGATGACTGGAAAAAGGCTAATGTAGTGCCAATCTTTAAAAAAGGGAAGAAGGAGGGTCCTGGGAACTACAGGCCAGTCAGCCTCACCTCAGTCCCTGGAAAAATCATGGAGCAGGTCCTCAAAGAATCAATCCTGAAACACTTGCATGAGAGGAAAGTGATCAGGAACAGCCAGCATGGATTCACCAAGGGAAGGTCATGCCTGACTAATCTAATCGCCTTCTATGATGAGATTACTGGTTCTGTGGATGAAGGGAAAGCAGTGGATGTATTGTTTCTTGACTTTAGCAAAGCTTTTGACACGGTCTCCCACAGTATGCTTGTCAGCAAGTTAAGGAAGTATGGGCTGGATGAATGCACTATAAGGTGGGTAGAAGGCTGGCTAGATTGTCGGGCTCAACGGGTAGTGATCAATGGCTCCAGGTCTAGTTGGCAGCCGGTGTCAAGTGGAGTGCCCCAGGGGTCGGTCCTGGGGCCGGTTTTGTTCAATATCTTCATAAATGATCTGGAGGATGGTGTAGATTGCACTCTCAGCAAATTTGCGGATGATACTAAACTGGGAGGAGTGGTAGATACGCTGGAGGGGAGGGATAGGATACAGAAGGACCTAGACAAATTGGAGGATTGGGCCAAAAGAAATCTGATGAGGTTCAATAAGGATAAGTGCAGGGTCCTGCACTTAGGACGGAAGAATCCAATGCACCGCTACAGACTAGGGGCCGAATGGCTAGGCAGCAGTTCTGCGGAAAAGGACGTAGGGGGGACAGTGGATGAGAAGCTGGATATGAGTCAGCAGTGTGCCCTTGTTGCCAAGAAGGCCAATGACATTTTGGGATGTATAAGTAGGGGCATAGCCAGCAGATCGAGGGACGTGATCGTTCCCCTCTATTCGACATTGGTGAGGCCTCATCTGGAGTACTGTGTCCAGTTTTGGGCCCCACAGTACAAGAAGGATGTGGATAAATTGGAGAGAGTCCAGCGAAGGGCAACAAAAATGATTAGGGGTCTGGAACACATGACTTATGAGGAGAGGCTGAGGGAGCTGGGATTGTTTAGCCTGCAGAAGAGAAGAATGAGGGGGGATTTGATAGCTGCTTTCAACTACCTGAAAGGGGGTTCCAAAGAGGATGGCTCTAGACTGTTCTCAATGGTAGCAGATGACAGAACGAGGAGTAATGGTCTCAAGTTGCAGTGGGGGAGGTTTAGATTGGATATTAGGAAAAACTTTTTCACTAAGAGGGTGGTGAAACACTGGAATGCGTTACCTAGGGAGGTGGTGGAATCTCCTTCCTTAGAGGTTTTTAAGGTCAGGCTTGACAAAGCCCTGGCTGGGATGATTTAACTGGGAATTGGTCTTGCTCTGAGCAGGGGGTTGGACTAGATGACCTTCTGGGGTCCCTTCCAACCCTGATATTCTATGATTCTATGATTCTATGATTCTAAGAGGAACGAAAATGATAATAGTTTTAGAAAACCTTCCCTATGAGAAATGGTTAAATAATGGGTATTGTTAGGGGGCTTATTCCTTCACCCACTTACTTCCGTGGTCCTTCTCGCATGAACAGAGAGCAACAATACCCGAAGTCCAAAGGTGCAAACAATTCGATGTTTATTGGGATGAACTTCCAGCAAGCATGATTCCAGTTTCCTTCCTTAGTGTCCTCCTTCCCAGCTCTGACACCACAGAGCCTTAGACCTGTTTCCCTGTTCCCATTCCTACCCTTAGCAAAACATGATTCCAATTTTCTTACCCCCATTCCTTGCTCCCATTTCCCTCACCCACATGCCCATGCCCACCCACACCCACTCACTTCCTCATTGACTACAGATTATATAGTAAAACTTGAGTTCTGCTTAACTATACCTTAACCAATTATTTTCCTGAAATTTAACTAACCAATCCTAACATATTGTCCAATTATATCCCACCACCTTAATAAGTTTACACCCAGCAAAATTAATTATACAGCAGACAGGAACAATCACAGAACCAGACAGAGATTATACAGACAAACAATAGCAAAGTGGGAACTACAATGACAAGACAACACAGAAGCGAGGATTTCACATCCCAGCTATTGATAAGTGAGTTCTTGCCAGACAGGATGCTATCAAACTAAGTTTCCTTTTACATTTTCTAGGCACTTCCCTTTCTCTGGAGGTGATAGGAATACAATCCTGTCCTGATAGTGCCTAACAGCCCAATAGCACCTTATTTCAATGTGACTAGTTTGGAATGTGAGAATGTGACCGTTCGCTTCCTAGCTTATGGCTGCCTCTGCTGCTTAGCCAAAGGCCTTAGCCTAAGAACAGGGCCTCAGACTGTCACAGTAAGAGAAGGCCCTTACACCGGCAGACAGCGATTTCTTTCTTTTATACCTCTAGAACTAGCCAAGTGATAAGAATACACCTAAATTCTTAAAGTACAGGCCTTTGCAGACAGGCCTGAATATCTATATCCTAACAGGTATGTTTAGTCTACAGAAAAGAAGACTGAGGGGAAACCTGACAACCAGAGATCCTAGAAATCCATTTGCTGTGGAAAAATGCGGAATTTGTGTTTTTTACAGAGAATCTTTAGTTTTTACATTTTGTGAAAAAATAAAAATATATACACTATTAACTATTAAATAAATTTTATTGAAAGTACCAGTGCCACTTATTCAATGCATGCAACCTTCCACTCTTGTGGTTAATTTTTGAATGTGCTACATAGCTAAACATACTCCAATAAACTACTTCCGGCGTACAGATCTTACTGAATGGCATATAGTGGTTTGTGTTTTAATGCATCTCAAATTTCACTTCAGCCTCCAGCTGTGAGTAATTAAAGTTATGAGAAGATGCCAAAAACTTTCAAAATCACCCCCAAAGATTATGTCACTGAGTTGGCAAGGACAAATTTCACGTTGATGGTAATGTGCTGTTCTATTCTGTATGCGGCAAGGCTGTAGATTACGTTCGATGGCACACAACTGTAGAACACAAGGAAAGTGCTAAACGTAAACTGAATGAAAAGAAGCAAAAACAAGAGGCTGATCGAGAACAGGCAGGGCCATCGACTACAGCAACGAATCAATGCACTGTGACTGGATCATTCCATCGTTTTACAACTGTAAATATATCAGTAAAACATTGTGTTCAACTGATACCTATATATATTGTGGCAAGGGAAACTAAAGTTCAGCATTTAATAATAATCACAGAAAAACACAGATTTTTATGCTTTTTTTAATTGGAGAATTTTTTTATCATGGAAAACTAGGATCCCTCCTGAGGAACAGTCTTCACATCTATTACGGGCTGTTATAAAGAGGATGGTGATCAATTGTTCTTCGTGTCCACTGATGGCAGGACAAGAAGGAATTGGCTTAATCCGCAGCAAGAGAGATTTAAGTTCGATATTAGGAAAAATTTGCTAACTTTCAGAGTAGTTAAACTCTGGAATAGGCATCCAAGTGTGTTTGTGGGTTCCCTGTCACTGGAGGATTTTAAGAACAGGTTGGACAAACACCTGTCAGGGATGATCTAGGTTTACTTGGTCCTGCCTCAGTATGGGGGGCTGGACAAGATGACCTCTGTAGGTCCCTTCCAGCCCCCCATTTCTATGGTTCTCTGATAGCTGAGGGCCTAGAGAAGGGAGGGAAGGCAGGGAGCTAGTGACAGGTGGGTGGGGGGAGGGATTAGGAGCATGTGGAGTAAGTGCAGAGATTGGTGGGGATAAGTAAGGAAGGGGGGCCGGGGGAGAGAAATAGTTTGTGGGTCCCAGGACTCTTCTTGGCACAGGAGGAGGGGGGAAGGGTTTGGATTATCCATAGCACAGGGATCAAGCTCATGAAGAGGTGCCATTTTGAGCCCCCTGAAAAGATGGTGGTCACTCATTTGGGATGTTATTGGCACAGTCTGTTTCCTGGTTGGGACGGGACCCCTCTGCCCCGGTGGGGAGAGTCTAAGCTGCAGCAGGAGATCGGGGAGGGTCTAGCTCCCAGCCTGTCTCTCACACTCAGCCCCAGGAGGTCGCAGGGATTCCCTCTGCACTCAGAGCCAGGGGCAGTGGGAGGCAGCCTCTCTCCTCAGGCAGGGGCTGAACCGCTGGCTGGGGTCTGGATTAGTGGGTTTGGTGGGGAAGGGGCTCTGGGGACCCAGCTGTGTTGGCTGCTCCCACATGGTGGGGTTGGGGGCCTCCGAGTGAAATGAAGTCACTTCCTATCGAGGGCAAACAGAGCCTGGGGTCTCCAGCTCCGAGGGGCCTGGCAGGGGACTCACCTTCCATCAAGGGGTTAAAGATCAGGCAGCCGAGGAGGCAGAGGCCGAAGTAGGCAACTGGCCCCATCTTCTCGCTTCCCTGGGGGGGAAACACACAAGGGAGATGGGGCCATGACAGCCTGAGACACCCCTGGGAGCAACCCCCACCCCAACCCTCGCAGGGCATTTCAGTGCTTTGGAGCTGGGGCTGTTTGCTAAAGGGCCTAGATGGGCTGGAAGGACCCCGAGAGCGATCCTGTCCCCCACCCTGAGGGGTTGCAGCTCGGAGCCCATCTACTTGGTTCCGAAGGGCCCTTCTGCCTCTAGCTCTCACTGAGCTATGCCCCGGGGACAGAACTGGACACCCGGCAGGGAGCCAGGTCCCAGCTCCTCAGTGGCTGGGCTCTGCAAGCCGCACCGCCAGGCACTCCCCAGACCAGGGCTGCAGGTAGGGAGGAGCTGGGGGGCAGCAGGGAGGCCAGGCCCACTCAGAGGAAACAGGATCCCAGGTAACAGGGTCCCATTTGCAGAACAAAGTGGTTCTCAGAAGGGGCATTTGCCATCTCCCGCTGTCCCTCTCTCCCCAGTGCTGGGGCTGGCAGGTCCACACAGTAGCCACCTACACAGAACTTGGAGAGAGAAGCACACGTGGGAGGAAGTAAGTTTGGAAGAGGCACCAGGGCCACCAGGATGGAGGCCAGTCTGTGTGCACATGGCTGGAATGCCAGCTGCAGGTGCAGCACCTCTGCAATAGTTCTCTGACTAGAGACCAGTTTAGGGTTAGAAAGTGGAGTCCTCTCGTGTTATCACCCAGCCCCTGGTCCACAAAACACCTACTGCCCCTGCCCCTGGGGCCTTTCCTCCACTAACAGGTGTTTGAATCACACTCATATTTTCAGCTCCCGGGCGATCGAGTGTCTGGAAAGCTAACACCGTGTATTTGGGGATGGGGAGGGGAGGGGGGAGAGTTACTGTACCTCTTGGTGGGGGATGGGATTCCCGTGGTACCATGACTGGGCAAAGGGGTCCAATGGGAGAACCGCCCTGCAGAGTGATGCTTCATTGGGGACTGGACACAGGACTGGAGGCTGGTCCCAGCTCTGGGAGGGGCAGAGGGCTTGGCACAGCTATGCGGGGCATTAGGGTGACACGGGCAGGGCTGTGCTGGGTGGGAGGAAGGGGTGAGACAGAAAAAGTCCCAGGGTCAGAGGACACACACAGGGCACCCGCCCCTGTAACGGATCAGCTGCCACCAGCCACCCAGCACAGGAGGAGGAAGAAGCTGGAGGAAGCCAGGATCTCACCTGATTATCTCTCTGCGTAGCCGCTCCGGTGCAAGGTCGGATCAAGTGCAGCCAGCATGGGACACTGGCCGTGCCTGGGGCATTTATAGACCAGTCCAGGGAAGGGGGCGGAACAGGTGTCAATACTGAATATGCAAATCTGTCCAGATGGCAGATACAATCATTTAATGCCCTGGCAAACAGAGATAAGAGGAGCTCTGACACACCCATCCCCTGGGCTGTGAGCAGGAGAAAGTGCTTGTCAGGGCTCAGATAACAGATAAAATAAGAGCTGTTCCCTCCCCCTCGTCTGTCAGTGCTGAGATCAGTGTCACTGTTGGGAGCCATCGTGCCCTGGCACTGACTGGCCCAACTGCTCCCGTCCATCTTGTCCAGTGAAAAGTTTCGGGCAGATCCCCAGGGAGTGTAATTCAGCTGGAGCCCCACTGAAGTCAAGGGTGGGATCCCCAGCGGGTACAGTCTGGTGTAGGGCGATTGGAGTCCTTGGGGTCAGACCCCCAGCGGGTGGATGTTGCTCCGAGCTCCATTGGAATCACTGGGGCTGGAACCGCACCGGGCGTAAAGTGTCCAGAGCTCCACAGGAGTGAATGGAGTCACACCAGCTGGGACCTGGCCCCCATCAGAGTAGGCTAAAATGGCAACTTTTCCAATTCCTGGACCTCAAGCCCAGGGAGGCACTTGCCCCATCACACGCCCTGTGCTTGGCTCATCGGCGCCGTGCACTGGGTGTTGTCATTTACACCTGTGCAAAGAGACTGGGAAATGCACCATCCTGACTGGGTGGCATTTTACACCTACCGGGCACTGGTGTAAATGGTGACATGTGGGGCCAGGGGAAAGTCAGGCCCATGAGGACTGGAATATAACTGGAGGGTGCTGCCTGTGGCCGAGGTATTGGCAATGTAATGGGCTCCCCACGCTCCCTCGTGTCTGTCTCTCCACTGTATTTCAAGGGAGTCCGTTACCCTGGTATCTAGGTGCTGACCATAGCAAGATGAAAGCGGTGTAAGACTTGCACCCAATGTGACTCTGTTCTCACATGTCTGTGGTTTGGCTGCTTATATTTGGAGATATTTTTTGCCTCTTTAATATGGTCATCATGGCTCCTGTTACGAGGGGGGCGGGGGGCTTAGGGCTTCATGGGGCTGGACAAATGAGCATTATTAATCTTGTCAGTAAGTAAATATTTCACTGAAGAATGGACAGTTTTCAATAACACAGGGGACAATCCCACCAGATAGTCCCACTGCTGCAAAGCCCAACTAGTATCAAAACTTCGTTTAGACAGGGGATGAATCTCCTCTTACTTCACCTAAAATCTGGAGGCATAAGCCACAGGGCAGAGCCCTGTTCCCTGGTTCTGACTAAATACAGCTTCCATCCCCCTTTCAGTAGCCATATGGGGACTGCCCAGAAGAGAGCAAGGGAAAAAGGAAGCTCATGGGGATCATCCCTCTCATCCTCATAATGAGAAAGATTCGAGTCGAGATCTTCTTCTGACCCACCACCCTTCCTAGTCTACGACTCCATCAAATCACAACCACTATTCTCTTCTACCCTCCCAACATGGCTATCAGAGCACAAGTTTGTCTCTTACATTCCCCATGATCTGCCTGGGTCTTATTCTGAGAATCCTTCAGTAAGGCCCTAACAATTTGATGATTTAACTGGGAATTGGTCCTGCTTCGAGCAGGGGGTTGGACTAGATGACCTTCTGGGGTCCCTTCCAACCCTTATATTCTATGATTCTATGATGATTCCTTCACTCTCCACTGTCTACTGTTTCGATCCAGACACTTCCTGCTCCAGCCTCTTATTCTCTCGCTCACTGTGACACCCCTGCTTTTGCAGTGCCACTATCTCAGCAGCCCTCAGGCTGAGTATTTCTTGTCTTTCTCATTTTTCTCTTTCTTTAACGCCTCTATTTCTGCCTTTAACTGATTTATCTCTTTATCTACTAGCATCATTAACATCTGCTTACACAGCTGTAGGAATGCTCCGGGACCAGTAAAACTCCCAGGCTTCCAGAGACCATAATCATGCTCCTGCATAAAATCTGCCAAGCTGTTGCCCCAAACCATTTCCAGCTTTTCTTTCTTTCCAGATGTTCCCTTTCCTTCTGACATATCTTCTTACCCGACCAGGCTGTCAGCCTGAGCCCGAATCAATAATGGAATGTAACCGTAAATCAACTCACTGGCTACGATGTGGGAAGTTACAGGTTGCGACCCTGATCCACTGTCCCCTTCCCCTACTGCAAACAAACAAACAAACAAACAATTTATATCCATCACCCCTTCCTCTGCACCACTCCTGGCAACTGGCCCGCCAGATCTGTTACCCCGGATTTTCAGAACCCAAATCAGTGGTAACTCTGGGAACACAGCACTTCCGTCTGATAAATAATTGATACAAATGAGTGCTCTTATCTAAAATGGCTATTTCTTAGATTTAAGCACACACAGACAAGCAATAGGATTAGAAGATCCCAAATAATTACCTAAAATCTGAGATGGTATTGAGTAATTAGCAGCAGGTCAATGATGGCCAGTCGCTTCCCCACTGGGGAGTAGGGTGCCAGGCAAAAGGTCTCTCAGGATAGCTTCAGAGAACTACTCCAAAGAACTCTCTATTATCTAGTCTTTTTATAACTACCTTTCACAAAACACATAGCTCATAGTGACCCCTACTGGGTCATCACTTCTCCTAACGTCAATCAACTACTTATCGATAAAACATTCCTAACAATCTTAGCCATAATAATCTTCTATATCAAAGGTGTCTAAAGTCAAGGTCTCTGTCCACATATTTTCTTTCACGCTCATAATTTTGTTGACTCTTTTCACCCCTCCTCCCACTCTGATTAGCAGAAACTGCAAGCCTGCAGCTAGTATTTGACCTTGCCTCCAAAAGCCCTGCTTGTCCAAATTAACCCTTAACTATGTGGTGTTCTATTTTATTAATTAATGGTGGCTAAATGCACATAATATGGTTGTAATTAGCTTGCTCAAGTTCTGGGGTATCACTGCACTCAAATCCTGAATAACGACCCCTGCCATTAGACTTTGAGGGTTTTATTTAACTCTCTCAGGCCTTTGCCTTATCTTTCCTAAAAGGCCTTAATGCCAAGCCAATGCTTAAATAACAATCAATCATTATTTTGGGCCTTAGTCCCTACACTGCCATGACAGGAATAAGGGAGATCCAGTCTGAAACAAATGATCCCCACACTGGGCCTCTGTTCTCTTCTGGTGTGACAGAACTGGGAATGGTCTGTAATGTTTTTATGAACACTATGCATTTCAGTTTACCCACTGGCCTTTGTATTGTTACTCACTGGGCACAGAGGGGTTAAAATGCTTCCCCTGGAATGGAGGGAAGGGATGAGATGTTTGACTCACGTGGCTCTCAGGTTGGAGACCAGAATCATGAACATGAACTGAATAGAACCTGCACAGGTGAGAGGAGGATCAGGCAATATGAAGGAAGAGCCAAAGACCAGGCCACTAACACTTCATGACTGGGAAGTCGAGGCAGGCTGAACATGTGAACTCAGCGTGGTTGGCAGCAGGAGGACAATGGACTGCAGGTGTCAGGGGCCTGCGTTAAGAGTGGGGCTCACAGACACAGCAGCTTTCATTTTGGGACTCAGAGAGCGGAAGAGAGAAGAAGGAGGTCAGAGAAGCAGGGTATGGCGAAGCCCTGGCTTCCCCAAGGTGAATTCTGTCCAAAGCTTACCGCTCATGCTGGCCTAAAGACTCTCCCAGCTGCTGGATTTCCGGTGACTAATAAA